TATATATATATAACCACAATGGATATTCTTCATAGATATTCTTTAGTAATTAATTAATTAGATCAAGGAAGTCTTTCGGTTTTGAAAAGTCCTCCTTTTCCTCCAATTCCTGGAAGTCCTCCGATTCCTCCAAATCCTGGAAGTCCTCCGATTCCAGGAAGTCCTCCAAATCCTGGAAGTCCTCCTTTTCCTCCTACTATTCCCGGAGGTCCTCCTCCTCCAACTCCCGAAGGTCCTCCGATTTTGGGGAGTCCTCCAATTACTGAAGGTCCTCCGATTCCAGGCAGTCCTCCGATTCCAGGAAGTCCTCCAAATCCTGGAGGTCCTCCTTTTCCTCCTCCTATTCCCGGAGGTCCTCCAATTTTAGGAAGTCCTCCTCCTCCAATTCCCGAAGGTCCTCCAATTTTGGGGAGTCCTCCAATTCCTGAAGGTCCTCCGATTCCAGGAAGTCCTCCAAATCCGGGAAGTCCACCTTTTCCTCCTCCTATTCCCGGAGATCCTCCTCCTCCAATTCCTGGAGGTCCTCCGATTTTGGGAACTCCTCCTCCTCCAATTTTCGGAAGTCCTCCTAGTCCTGGAAGTCCTCCGATTTCGGGAAGTCCTCCTCCACCAATTCCTGAGGGTCCTCCTATCCCAGGAAGTCCTTCTATTGTTGGAAGTCCTCCAAGTTTTGGAAGTCCTTTGATTCCGGGAAGTCCTCCTCCTCCTATTGTTGGAAGTCCTCCAATATTTGGAAATCCTCCTCCGATTCCAGGAAGCCCTCCTATTCCGGGAAGTCCTCCTATTGTTGGAAGTCCTCCAATTTTTGGAAGTTCTCCTATTCCGGGAAGTCCTCCTCCTATTGTTGGAAGTCCTCCTCCTATTTTTGGAAATCCTCCTCCGATTCCAGGAAGCCCTCCTCCTATTTTTGGAAGTCCTCCTCCTATTTTTGGAAGTCCTCCAATTTTTGGAAATCCTCCTCCGATTACAGGAAGCCCTCCTATTCCGGGAAGTCCTCCTATTGTTGGAAGTCCTCCAATATTTGGAAATCCTCCTCCGATTCCAGGAAGCCCTCCTATTCCGGGAAGTCCTCCTATTGTTGGAAGTCCTCCAATATTTGGAAGTCCTCTGATTCCGGGAAGTCCTCCTCCTATTTTTGGAAGTCCTCCAATTTTTGGAAATCCTCCTCCGATTACAGGAAGCCCTCCTATTCCGGGAAGTCCTCCTATTGTTGGAAGTCCTCCAATTTTTGGAAGTCCACCAATTCCCGGAAAACCTCCCCCAAATCCCAGAAGTCCTCCTCCAAAAAATTTGGCGTCATTTGTCTCACTTGCCTCTCCTGCACCAGATATCATACACAGACATGCATGTTAATGTCCTCCTCCAATTCTTATAATTTTTGTAATAACAAACAAAACTATTAAAGAAAATTCTTCTTTATTAAAAAACTATATATAACATATTAAATATATATATTTTTTAAAATATTATTTTGCAAGGTTTTTTCGTAGATTAACTTAGGCCCTATATTTATCATACGCCCCCAATTTTTAAATGAACTAAATTTAGATGAATCAAAATGATCTAAGTAATTAAAACGGTGGCCGGGTCATTCACCCACCAAATTACTTGCGTATGGCATACTTTCATGGGCTTATTTTGTGCAACTTATAGACAAATTGACTTTCGACGAATCATGCTTGGCTAAGTTACTAAAGGTTGGGTAATTTAGGCTTTTATTAAGGAGGGAACGGAACAATTCAATTTACGAAATTAAGGTCTTAATTAAAGGAAAAGTATCACGAGTCAATTTAGATAACGATTCAAATATTTCTAAGAAAATTTATGAGACAAATAATTTGACTTTTCAAACTGTAACACCTTTACATAAAATAGGACGTAGGGAGCTTACCCTTTTTCAAGGAAGTGATGGAACTCTGAGCCAACTTCCTAGCTGCAACCTCTGATGTTGTCACAAGAAAAATAGCCAAAACAATTAGCAAAAATGCCTTCGATCCCATTTTTTTTGTTTGTTTAAATATAACTACTATTTGAATTATGATAATTGCAGAAAACTAATGAACATTTTCCCTCTATTTATAGTATTGATCAATTTGAAATTTTATATTAGTAGAGTCCCGCTAGTTATTAATTAAGTTGACAGATTAGACTAAATGAAATAACTATATATTGCATATTCCTAATTAGCTATATATGGCAACGTATAATAATTATATATGGTTAAGAATTAAACAGATCATGCTGTTTCAATTTACTATATTTAATTTATAGTATATTATTGCAATATATGCTCTAACAGAGGTAGCGTCTTTTAGTTTCCAAAAATGTTATAAATGTCTTGATTTACTAACTAGAAGTCATATTTCAATAAAAACTTCTCCGTAACAACATCATTTATCTGAATACGTTTTGATTGCTATGAAAAATTGATTCCTAAATAAACTTGTCCGTTATAGAGGATGTCAGGCTCCCAATTGGTGTTGGTGTAGGACGTGATTGATATCCGAATTAAATAACTCGTCGAGTGAACCTTGAGTTTAATTATATTTTTTGTCTATATTTGCTGAATTAATTGAAAGGGTAAGGTAGGAAATAGCCAAAATGAAACATCCAATTCAATTTACAATCTGCATTGAAATTACTGAATCAGATGAATCTGATATCGATATTCTACGTCCGCCCCTGTCTATGAGAAAGACCAAGAACAAACTCCTATTAGCCTAATTAAACATATGGCACATTAAGATACCTTTAATTTCTAAATTTCGACTTTTAAAGAGTAGCACTTTGACATTGAAACACTGGACCATATTTTCTTTTATGGTTCTAATCACTAAATAGCAAATTTTCGATAGACGTCTTGTCAGAATTTGAGTTGGCACAAATATGTTATTATTGAGTCGGATTTTGTTGTTCAAATCACTTACGAAATATACGTCGTGATTTTTTTTCGTTGATTTTGTTACTCCTTTGAGCAACGAGTTTTTTCAAGGTAAAATTCTTATGTTGATTATTCCGTACTTCACTTCTTGTTTGGATGACTAAAGAATCTTCAAACCTCAGTACTTGTGGAATTCCACTGAATATGTTGTTGTTAGATGACTCAAGAACTTGTGCATTAATTAGATGATGACACAAAATAATAGAAATTTGTTAGTTCTTTTAGCACTAAAACCCCGGAAAATTATTTTTGCTATCGAGTCTATTGATAAATTGAACCACAACATTCATTGTTTTATAGTTAGTGTTGTGTAAAAATTAAATTAAAAATAATATTCAGAAAAATCTATCCGTTATTTTTGCCCAAATCTATCTATATATAATAGGAGAGGAAAAAGTGACACATGTCAGCCCCATAAATTTTCTAGAATTTATAAATTATTAAAATCAATTTTAAAATTTGAAAATTTTTACAGTTTCTTAAATCTTGGATAATGGTGTAAAACTTTCAAAACAATTACTTTTTACGGTTTTTACTTTTAGTGGATAATAAATCACAAATTTTGTGGACAACAATATATTTTAAAAAACGGTGGATAAATCAAGACTCATTTG